ATCTAACTTCTCCAATAAATGGATTGTAAGGGGGACACACAAAGAGTTGAGGAAGAAAAGTTACAGATTAGGAAAGGCAGACTGATCACCTTTGGCTGCCCGAATCCTGACTCTGAAAACTTTTCAAAAACTTGTATGAGACAATACAGGACAGTTGAATTGACTAGATATGAAATTAAGAAATTACTGATTTGGGAGGGTATGATACTGTTGTTGTTTTTTTTAAATAAATCCTTATCTTTTAGATGCAAACTGAAGTAAGAATGAACTGATCCATTGGCCAGGTGTCTGTGGCTTACAGCTGTAGTCCTAGCTACTCAGGAGACTGAGATCTGAGGATCAATGTTCCAAACCAATCTGGGTAGTAAAGTCTATGAGACTCTTATCTCCAATTAACAGCAGAAAGCCAGAAGTAGAGCTGTGGTTCGAGTGGTGCAGTCTCACCCTTTAGTGGATAAACTAAGCTGGAGTGGGAGGTCCAGAGTTCAAGCCCTAGTACTGGCAAGGGAAAAAAAAAAAAAACAAGAATGAACGTACCAACTATCTAGGATTTCATGTGAAATAATTCCTGGGGAAGTAGGGTGGTAGGTAAGCAATTGCAATAAGACAGACCACAAGGACTGACACCATGAGCTGTCCATGGATGGAAAGTAGGCTGTACCATGCTATACTCTGTGCCTGTCATCCCCAGTGACACCGGGAAACACAAGCAGGAAGATCCAAGTCCAGGCCAGGCCAGGCATGAGCTGAGACTATGTGTAGCAACCCTACACATTCTACAACCAGGGTCCACTTGGGTATCTGCCACCAAGAAATTGCTAAATAAGAAAAAAAATTTTTTTTGGTCAGTTATGGGACTTGAACTCAGAGCCTGGGCACAGTCCCTGAGATTGTCTGCTCAAGGCTAGCACTCTGAGCCACAGCACCACTTCCAGTTTTCTGGTGGTTAACAGGAGAAAGGGTCTCACAAGCCAGGCGCCAGTGGCTCACACCTGTAATCCTGGCTACTCAGGAGGCTGAGATCTGAGAATCACGGTTCAAAGCCAGCCTGGGCAGGAAAGTCCGTGAGGCTCTTATCTCCAATAAACCACCAGAAAACTGGAAGTGGCACTGTAGTTCAAGCGGTAGCGTACTTAGCGTGAGCCGAAGAGCTGAGGGACAGTGCCCAAGCCCAGAGTTCAAGCCCCACGACAGACAAAAAAAAAAAAAAGGGTCTCACAGGCTTTCCTGCCCAAGCTGGCTTTGAACCACAATCTAAAGATCTCAGCCTCCTAAGTAGCTAGGATTACAAATGTGAGCCATCAGCACCAGACAAGAAAAAACCTCATAAAACCTCATAAACCCCACAGTGGGAGTAGTCCCGAACTCTGTAGGAAGGGGATTTCTTTTCCTTTCTTCTAACTGCTCACTGGTTCAGAAAGTCACACCCAAGGCCTCCCTGACTTCATCCCCATCTCTGAGAACACCCGTCCATGTTTGCAGGCCACAGCCGCCTTCCTTCCTACCCAAGTGCTGACTGCCCCCACATACAGGGTAAACTCCCCACCATCGGCTTCTGCTACTACCGAGGGCCACTCTGGACGCCACTGTCATCCACCTCATGGAGATGAAAGCACTATTGTGCTTTCCCAACTGTGGTCATTCCAGTACTCAATCTCCCTTCCCCACACACACAGAAACCCTAAAGACCCTGAGAGAAACTCCAGGCTGCCCCACAATTCCAGCAGAGAACTACCAAGTCAAGACTGATGAGGGTCACACACCCATTTCTCTAGCAGGTAAACTGAGGCTGGATCTCTGATCACAACTCCAGAATCTGCCCAGGCCATCCAGGAGTCCTGCTGGTTCTGGGCCTCAATGTGACATCCATCCCATTACCTTCCACCCTGGCACACCCACCTGCCTCCCCCAATATGCTTATTTCTATGTGGCTAATGGTGAGCAGAAGGATGATGAGGACCACGGGGACATTCCTGCCAGCCAGCCACATGTGACCATTTCAACCCTGAAGACAAATAGCCCAGGGTGTTATCTGGGCAGGCCTGTCAATTAGAAGTGCTGGGAAGATCGATGGATGGATGGAGCCTACTGGGAGGAGGAGAAGAAGGTGGCAGAGGAGGAGGAAGAGGAGGAGGAGGGGCCTGAGTCTGAGTTGACCCTGTGATGAGGAGGGAGAGGAAGGAAGAACGCAGCAAATTTAACACCCAGCACGACATTTGGGGGAAGCTCAGGAAAGCCGGCAGCTGCAGCTTGCTCCAGGCCCCTCTCTACCATGGGCAGCCAGCACCCGCAGAGCAAGGGTCAATAGTGTACACCTCACTGATTTTCAGATGCTTAAAGCGTTTAAAGACACAAAAACTCCAGATTACTGGCAGGGAAGCAAAGGTCAGTTTGCAACAAGATGAAACCAGTCTATCAGAGAGAGGGGTAAGTTCATAGCCAAAGCAGGAAAGATGTCTGGAACATTAGAATGGGATGAAGTTGTTGAGAATTAAGAGAAGGAAGAAAGACAGACTGTCCCAGGGCATCCTGGCCTGGGCTACCACTGTGTGCCCTGTCCAAGCCTTTCCCTGTATCTCATTATATCCCTTCCCTCTCTCTCCAAACTCTCCCCCACCTGATGGCTGCCTCCTTGTCCTGGGCATGGCTGGTCTTGACCACTAATGAATGAGGTTGTCACCACCAGATAGCTTTCTTTAATCATTCGTATCACAGGCCAATGGCAGGAGAGGGGATCAGTTCTCATCAAGCCCCTCCATCATCATGCAGTGCCTTGAGACCTCCAGAGTCCCTCCTGGACAGGCAGAAACTAAAGCTTGGAGCATTTGAATGGGCAGTGTCACAGAGATTCGGGGCTTGGGGCTCCAGCTTCCTGCACAGGCGCTTTTCCAACTACACCACTCCCTCTGTCCCCAGAGCAGGAACTGGGCTGATGCATCTGCCTTTGTGTCCGGCAATTTCCGTTGAATGCCACAAAACAGCTCCGGCTTGTCTCGGACCATCCACCCCAGGCAGCCTCCTGATGCCCGAAGGCTGACCTATTCATCCTGACTCCACAGATAAGATGGGGAATGAAGTGCAAGGAATGGAAAGAAGTCAAAGTCCAGGGACAAATGGAACCCAAGCCTGGAACTGTGGGCCCCAGAGTTCTAGAAGCTTTTCCCCCAGACACACATCCCCAACGTCAACCACTCCTACTCCACCTGTGGGATGTCTGCTTGACGCAATGCCATCTGTACTTGATTACTATTATTTCTATAAAATACACCCATTCCAGAAGCTGCCTATGTTTAATTTAAAGCCATGCTTTAAAGCTGAGCACTGGTGGCTCATGTCTATAATCCTAGCTAACTCTGGAGGTTGAGATCTGAGACTCGTAGTTCAAAGCCAACCCAGGTAGGAAAGTCCAAGAGACTCCCAAGGACCACCAAAAAACTGGAAATGGAAGTATGGCTCTAGTGGTAGAGCACCAGCCTTGAGTGAAAAAAAAAAAAAAAAAAAGCCAGGAGAGATCACGAGGCCTGCGTTCAAGCCCCAGTGCCAACACCATAAGTAAATAAATAAGTGATGCCTTATCTTACTGCCACAAATAGCAAAAACATACCACAACAAGTCTCCAAAACCAAAATGATCTCCCTCCCGGGGAGGTTACCCTTTCTGCCTTACAGAGATCCAGCCTGCTTACACTCTCCGTTGCAAAAGGCCGCTTAGCAAGTGTTAGAAAAGAAAAAGAGAGAGGGAAATTAAAATGAAAAATGAAGGGGGGGGGGGGAGATGTTGAAGCCAGACGAGCACCAACCTGAAACTTTCCCCTTGGAGAAATCAGAAGGACTGGTAGAGAACTGGATAGGGAAGGGCTTTAGCCCGAAGTGACTCAACGTTATTTCAAGCTTCCCCGCCATAAGTCATTCCCCTGGGGTAGCGTCCTAAGGCGGACATTTGGGAAGCACAAGGACAAGAAGATGGGAAGCAAGCCCACCCCCAAGGACACCCACACCGGCTGCTGTCCTCCCACTGGCCCTCCTCTGCGCTGCCCAACACTGCCCTCCCCCGGGGAGTGGGGGGGAAGGGGAAGCCAGTCACCCCCTAGGTGATCCTGGCTCCCGTGTGCCCTTGGCCAGGCCCTTGTCTTGGGCAGTGTGCGGCTCCAAGCACCGCCAAACTCCTCTGGAAATCAGTACCCAGCAGGGCGGCTGGGAATGGAGGCAGCAGCTCCCCCCCACACACCCTCCCACTCCCCCCACCCCCGCCCCTGCGGAGCAGCTTTGCCACGTGCCTGGCAGAAGAGGGAGGTCGGTGCCAACAAGCTGCTCCCTGGGGGTCTGGTGGGTGTCACACCTGCCTCTGGGGACTGGACCCCCAGGAAGCTGCCCCCCCCTCTCCATCGCCAACCCCTCACCTCTCACCCCACCGAGGTCCTGATCATCCCCAAAACAGCCTAAGCAACGCGCTCTGCAACACCCAGGACGAAAGGCAAACACCCCGCAACCAGAGAGAGCCGGGGTGTGGGGCGGGAGGGGGGCACCACACACACACACACACACACACACACACACACACTCGGTCCTCCCCTCCCGACCCCGAGCGCAGAGCCCGCGGGGCTCGGGCAGGGCTCAGACAAGTTGCCGAGAAGCAAACAGCCACGCGCCGCTCGGGCTCAGCCGTGGCCGGTCGTCCGGGCGGGAGCTGCGCTGCCCGCGCTGCAGGCTCCCCTTGGGGTGCCGCGATCTGCAAAGGCGAGGCCCGGGACGAAGAAGTTGGGGGTCCCTCTGCCCGTCGGGGATGAACCCCGATGCTCCCTCCCGGCCACCCGACGACCCAGCCAAGGTCCTCCTGCCAGGCGCAGGACACCCGGGGCGGGGGGGGGGGGGGGAAGGTCCCAACTCGCTCGTCCCCCCTCGACGGCTTCTGGAAAGGCGCCTAGGACCGGTTGGCAAAGTGCACCCCAAAGAATTTCCAGCGAGGAAAGCCGAGCGGCGGAGGCGCCGCGGCCGCTTTACCTTTTCTCCTTATTCTGCCTTCGGGATTTGTGCAGGAGTCCGATGAGCACCACGGCGGCGCGGATCCCCGCCTTCCGGCAGTGCATCCTCCCGGCCGGCTGGGACATGGCGAGGCCGCCCGGGCGCTCGGCCGCGCCCTCGCCCGCCCGCCCGCCGCGCGCCCCCGCTGCCCGGCCCAGCGCGCTCCTCTCCGCGCCGCCCGCGCCCCGCCCAGGTGCGCCCCGGCCCCGCCGCCCGCGCCCCGCCCCGCCCCGCCGAGGTGCGCCCCGGGGTCAGGTGACGCGGGCGGGCGCGCGGGCGCTCACTTCCTGGCGACCTTCAGCGCCTCCCCGGGGGCCCGCGCGGGGCCGCCGCCGGTGTCCGCTCCCCGGGCGCGAAGCAGATCCGAGGCTCCCCGGGGCTCTGGCGGCCGCGAGCCCGGTGCCGCCCCGGCCCCGCCCCCAGCGCCCCGGCCCCGCGGGCCCCGCCGGCCCGGTGGGAAGGGAGGACGGACGCGGCCCGCTTGCGCGCCCCGGGTCCCGCTCCAGGCCGAGGCGGCGGGCGCGCTTCACAGCCCGGCCCCGCCGGGATACTTCCCCGATGCTGTCACCGGCTTTAAAACCGGAGGAAAAAAAAAAGCCAGGACGGAGAGCAAACCGCGTCCTCCGTCCCAGCGAAACTGCCAGCGCGCGCGCGCAGCCTCCGCCGCCGGCCTCCCCTGCCCCGGGCCGGGCATCGTGCAGCTATGGGGAGCGGGGGGCCCTCCAGGCCGGACTTTGCACAGCTCTGGGGACTCCTCAGACCCGGTCTCAAGCTGTGGTGAGACAAGATGCTCCTCCCTGCCCCCCCCCCCGATCCTGCGAGACGACTGTCGCGAGGGGCTGCAGGGACCCGTTAACTTTTGCTGTCTAGGTCTGTGATGAGCTTCACCCTCGTCTGGGCGGACCAGCTGGCCACATACAGGCTCCATCTTCATGTGGAAGCCAAAGGAGCCGAAGTCCTTTGGAAAAGGACAGCCCCTCAGCTCAGAAGTACCCACCTCCTCCTTCCATTTCCTCCAGGGCTGCTCAGACCCCTCCCGCCCCCCCCCCCCCAAACCCCGACTAACTGCTCTGCCCCTAGGGAGCAGGAATCCGGTAGGGGAGCTGGAGGGAATTAAAACAAGCCAATTAGTCCATCTTTGGAAACAGTCCTGTTGGGGCCAAAGAGGTCCCTGAAGCAATTTGCCCTGTTTTTGTACAGTCTGGTGTTCAAGCAAACAGAAAATACAGGCAGGGAAAGGCACCATGCTGGAAGGGGGGGGGGGGGCAGCAAATGAATTCCAAGGCCCTGGGGCATGAGCCCTGCCTCTCCAGTGGGCACAGCTTCTTGCTGACTTGGGATGGGAGGGAGCCTCTGAGGGCTTCCAGAACGCACCTGGTGCTCTAAAGCATCATTAGCCATGGCCTTGGGCTGCCCTGCCCCTGTGGGGGAGGGGGTCACAGATATAACCATGAACATCTATTTATAACCAGATTTGAGTGACCCAGGACCCAGCCCTGGGATGGGCAGCTGAGGCCAGCTGCCAGGAATACACCAGGAGTGACTTCAGAGTGTGTCTGGGGAAAGAATGGCAAATAGCACCCTTAGAGGAACGAACCCCAGCACCTGGCCCAGACAGGGCCACTCCAGCCCCCGGTATCACACAGTATTTACAGGTAAACTTCAGTTGGATGGCAAAAGGAATGGTGGAGCCCGGTGCTAGAGGCCTAGCCCAGCATGGATATACACTATACATGCGCAGGGCACGCAAGAATCCCAGTTGATTTCATGAGCCCTCTGCAGCGAGAGAGAAGGGTGGATGAAATAGCCTCCACTGTCTGGGAGCTTGTTCCCATCAAGTGCACGGCTGGTAGGGAGGCACTGAAATCTTTCCATCAAGCAAGTTCCATCATTCATTCTGGTTCTAGGCTTTCTCCACTCCTCCGAAACCCAAATGTGGCTGAAAACCTCTCAGAATATGATTACTCTAAGAGGTGGATCTTTTCTTCTGCCCATCCCACAAGCCCTCTGCCTTTGGGGCACAGAGAGGAACCCCCTTACCCCCTGCTGAATGCCTACTCTAGCCCCTGCCAGCATACACCACACCCCCAAGGAAACACAAGGGCAGAACACACAATGCCCCTCTACTCAGGGCTAGCTCACGCCATCAACATTCATCAAGCACTTTCCATGTGGGCAGCTGTATGCAGGAGATTGGGGCACACAAGGAGAAATGGGGAATAGCTTTGCTGGTCATAAACAGGACTAACACACACTTCACTGCCAAACAATACCGTTCCCAGCCAGCAAGTGTGGAGTGGCCCAGCCAGTGTTTCTCAATGCAAGCTTTCCAATCAGTACTCTGCTTTCATTAAATTAGCTTACTTCTTAAAGCATCTCCGTGTGGCAATCCATGGTATATAAGTATGTATATATACACACACATATATATATATGAAACCAATACAGATTTATTAAACTTTATTTCAGTGTGGTTCCCAGGTAAGGAAAAGTAGCCAGGTATTGGTGGCTAACACCTGTAATTCTAGCTACTCAGGAGGCTGAAATTCTAAGGCTCATAGTTAGAAGCCAGCTCAAGCAGAAAAGTCCAAGACACTCATGTCCAATGAACTAGCAAAAAGCCAGGCTGCAAAGCATGTCTCAAGTGGTAGAGTACCAGCCAAGAAAATCCCCCGAGCAAGTATGAGGCCCTGAATTCAAAACAGTCACATGTAAACCTACTACACTTGAAGAAACCAGTTTGGAAGAGAACTAAAAGGGGACAGCTTTTGAAGGTGTCCATAGCCACTTTGGAGTAAACAAAAAATAATAAAATTTGGAACCACAGTAAAGGAGGTCTGGGAAGACTGCAGCAGTCAGGGAGTGGATATTCTTCCAGACCCCGGCCCACCCTATCACTTATCCCCAGCATCAACCTCACAGGCCCCCAAGCTCACAGTGCCGGAGACCGAAGTGCCAGGTGGGCTGCCAGCTTGGGTCTCTGCCCCAATGCCGGTAAAGCCTGAAGGCTGCAGTGCCTGGGTGGGAGTCGAGGGTAGGGGTGGGGATGGGGGAGTTAGTTAATCATGAACTCAGGGCAGACAGATGCGCAGCCTGCTCCTCAGGGGCTACTGGGATGAGACATGGACATGCATGCTTGGCCCTGAAGAAAAGAGCCTTCTGTGCCTGGGAACCCCCTCTAGAAACAAGGCTGCACAAAAACTAGACAGTGCCCACTGCCAGGGACTCAGACAGAGCCCTCTCCCTGCCCCTCCTGACCTTAGATTCCTGGTGCCTTCACTGTTGGGCAGCAAAATGACTGCAAATGTTCTTGGCTAGGACGAGGGAAGACCAGGGTGACCGGGCATTGATGAAAACCACCTAGATCTCTTCAGATGCCTTGCCTGGTATGTGGGGGCCAGGGGGTCCAGCCTTTCCTTAGATCACAAGGCTACAGTTACACAATTAAGGCAGGGCAGAACAGACCTCCATCCACTCTCTCCTCCTTTGGAAAGTAAACACATCACAACCCTGCTGTGGGGACCCACTCAGAAGCCCCCCCTCTCACCTTCCACACAGGTCCTGGGCACACTCACCCAGGCTTGTAAGGAACCAGCCTGACATTCATTCTTGGCAGATGCACCAGCGCCCTCTGCTGGACCCACAGCTCAGTTGTGTCTCTGGGAGAATACCATATGAGGAAAAGAGATGGCCAGAGGGTGCAGAGACTGGGGAGGCAGGCAAGGGAGAGACATAGACTGAAAAGGTCATTTGAGGTGGGAGAGCAGTTTCTATTTTGAAAAGAGAGAGATACAGGAACAGTAGTTGCCAACATACCAAGTCTCCTCCCAGCTCCTAACATCCCCTCCCAGAGTTTATGACCAGCTCCAGAGGGGCCCTGTTCCACAGGGAGAGCAGCAAGCATCTGGCATACCTTCAGGCAGAACCCAGAAGCCTCAAAACCAAGCCTGAGAAGGCAAAGCTCAGCCTGCCTCTTCTAGAGCCACATATCTATTAAGCAGAAGTTCTGAAGATAAACTGGCTCAGGATTTGGAAGCAGAACTTAGTGACTTGTGTGGTATTTCCAAACTCCAGGGCGTGGAAGGTTCTCTGAGGAAACTCAGTCCCAGCTCCATAGCAGCATTCAGCCCTGGGGCTGCACAGTATTTGACACCCAGAGTCACTAGAGGATGCCTGCTAGGCAGGATGTCCATCACAAGTGTGTTGATTTCCTGTTGGGGATCGGCACAGGAAGAAGAGTTCTTCGAATACTGCTTGAGTGACTGAAGGTATCTAAAATATTTTTCGCAGCTGAAACCCAGTGTCTCACACCTGTCATCCTAGCTTCTCAGGAAGCTAAGATCTAAGAACTGCAGTTCAAAACTAGCCCAGGCAGAAAAGTCCATGAGATTCTTATCTCCAATTAACCAGCAAAAAAAAAAAGCCAGATGTAGAGGTATGGCTCAAGTGGTAGAACACCAGCCTTGAGCAAAAAATAAAAATAAAAAGCTAACTAAGAGCTTGAGGTCCCGAGTTCAGGCCCTGGGAACAGCACCATTTTTTTCTTTTGTTTTTTTTTTGCCATATTTTTTATGTGTGTGCACAGGTATTAGGGGTTGAACTCAGGGCCTGGGTGCTATGCCTGAGCTTTTTGGCTCAAGGCTAACACTCAACCACTTGAGCCACAGGCTCCACTTTCACCTTGCTGGTTAATTGTAAATAAGAGTCAGCTTTGAATCCTCAGATCTCAGCCTCCTGAGTAGCTAGGATTACAGGTGTGAGTCACCAGCACCAGGCTCATTGCTGGACTTTTAAATTTTTTGTTCTGTAGTTTCTCCCATTGTGGAAGCAGTAGAAAAGATTCTTCTGATGAACGTAGAGAAGGGCTTGGGAGCTTGGAGGCCCAGAACCTCTGGCCCCCATCTGACTGGTTACCAAATTTCCCAGCTGCTGCTACCCCCAAGGTCCCTCACTCCAAACCTGGAGAAACAGATCACGAGGGACGCTGTCTCCTCATGTCAGCAGCAGCACTGAGCAACAGCAAACACGGGCAGACTCCAAAACCCTGTTCTGTTTGGCTCTAAAAGAACAGAGCAGATTCTTCTACATGTATTATTTATATCCTATTTTATATGCCCAGTAACGCAGTCTGAGCCTTGGCATCTTCAGGAGATGACGAACGACATTCGTGTGTGGTTTCCAGACAACTAGAGCTTTGGGTAGTGCAACTTGGTGTGTGCTTGCTCACTTGCTGTTATTGTAATGACCTTCGCTAGAAATTGCTCTCCAGTGTCTTACACACCGTCGTCCTTTTCAAAGACAGATTTCATATCATCAATTATCACGACTGCAGTGGGCCAAAAAGCAGTTCTGACTTGATAGACCATGGAAACGAAGGCCGACAGGTCCTTCCGTACT